CCCACTCGTGGGCGCAGATTTCGCAGTATTGTCGTTGCACTCTGTGTGGGGTACAGATGAAGTCATTCAAACAGAGTGCTGATTTTGCGGCCAAGGAATGTCCTGGCCACTACATGCAGATGTCAGACCTCGTGCATGATAATAAAAGGCCAGCTTTTGTTTTATTTTGAGCTCCTTGAGCATCCCACGAGTATTCGGGTGTGCCACAAGTGTGGATCCTACTCCGAGGGGTTGGATCGAGGGCTCACTGGAGGCTGCGGCACTCGAGTGAGCCACCAAGGCGCGGCCACTCAGCATGCCTGTGGCCAGGAGGGTCATGATCCCACGGGCTCAAAGTCGTCCCCGATCATATATAAGGCCCCACTATCTCTCAGGCCAGATTGGTGAGCGAAACGCCAACCAAGGTCTGAGGAGAGGAGGCACCAACGCCTCCACAGTCGGCCGTGCTCTCTCACGGCGGACATCGTACACTTCATCAGCCATGTGCGTGTCCTCCTCCTCCTCCTCCTCCTCCTCCTCCTTCTCCTCCTCCTCCTCCTCCTCTTCCTCCTCCTCCCCCTGTTGGACGCCCCCCTATGCCCAAGGGCGTGGTCTGGGCCCCAAGCTCGCGGCTTTGCAGTGGAAGCCCATGCCACGAAAGCACCGCGCTTGCCTCCAGGGTGCCCTGGGTTCTTGGGTTTCGATGGTTTTGCTATGGAAAGCGTGATGTTCCCACACCACAGATGAATGGACGTCCTGGGGTCTCAGGGTTGGGTTTCTTGTGGAAGGTTTCTTGTGGTCGAGCTCTTACTGTCCCCCCTTCGATGAGGATGTGGGCCGTTTCTTCCGGGTTTCGAATGTCATGTCCCCAACCCGGGTGCTGAGATGTTGGGGGTCTGGATGGGTAATGGGGGTGGGGATATGGGGTCGGTTGAACGATACTGAGTGCGTGGCACCATCAGCAATATCGAGTCCCATCTTCACCGACGTGGATCACCACGAAGGCTGCTAAGGGGATAGGGGGTTCTAAAAGGATGCCAGGGTGGCTTATATCTGGCCTGTCCCAGCTTATACGCGGCCTGCAAATGCCCTATTCAGCTTACTGCGGGCAGAGATCTAGGCCAAGTGGGCGGAACCCTTTCCGCAGATCTGCCAAGCCCATGTAAGCCATTGTGGTAAGATGTAACCAATTTTGCAGCTGGGTTAGGCCAAATCTCATCCACATCCGCATCCACGTATAGCCCCCCTCTTCCCGTGGCAACCCCATAGGTGATCCAAGGAGGGAATGGGCAAGCCCGATTTCGGTGTTGGTTGTAGTGTTCAGTCCTCTCAGCCACCATCACTGAAGTTGTGAGCCACCCTTCCTCTGTGAGAGCGACCGTCGATATTGGTGCTGGTGCCGACATTTGATGCCTCGAATAGCCAGTCCTCGGGAGGGGGTCCAGACCTCTTGGTCCTCGCATGGCCCCTGGCCCGCCAACACCGACTCGGGATAAAAAACTCGGCCCCAGGGAAGGGTCTGGATCCCTTGAGGCCGACGTCGTGGTTAAATTCCAACGTGGGTGGGGAGGGTCCTCCTCCCTCCTCCCTCCTCCCTGCTCCTCCCTTTTTCTCCTTCCTCCTTCTTTCCCTCCTCTTCCCTCCTTCCTTCTTCTCCTCCCTTCTCCTCCTCCCTCCTCCTCCGACGACCCGCCCGCGACACCGCCGAAGATGACGATTACGACGCAACGACGACGACGCCGACGACGACGTCGATGAGGGCCGCGGGGTGAAGGGGGATGAGATCTCCTGGCGGCGCGAAAGAGTCCAGACGTCCCACGACGGAGTGCTTTTGGCCTTTTTGGGTCTCCCAGCCTCTAGGTGCCCTCACCGGGCCCCAGGGCCGTCAACAAAAACCCAGGACGAGACGACTCCGGACCGGGGAGCCCCCTTGACCTCTTCTTCTTCTTCTTCTTCCGGGAAAGGCTTTCCCGCGGCGGGGGGGCAGTTACTGTTCTGCTGGGTACCGTATCCTGGTACTCGGCCCTACGCCGTGGGGGCACTGACAATGCCATTTATGCTTCACGGCTTGGTGACAGGCATGCCGGCTCGTCTTGTTGGGTCCCGCCCCGCGGCACCTTGCCAAGGGCCGTAGCGCTCAGCTACGCCCGTGACGCTGGTGACGCTGGAGCTACCTTGAGCCTCCAGGCGCGGGTATCGTGCATTTGGTGGAGTAGCGGGGCCGTGTGGTCCATAAGTCCCATGGGGCCTTCGTGCCTGCAGGCCCTGGCAGGGGTTGGTAGTTGGGAAGGACCTCGCAGTGAGAACCGACCGTCCCTCTACTCACCACCGCCATCACGTACGAGTAGCGAATCACGGGGCGACAAGGCGCTGACCTGCACCTCGACCGTGTTGCGTGAGCTCCTCGCCGATGAGGGAGCGGCCTCCCCTGCACGCGAGGAGGAAGGTCTCCCCGCGTGGGGGCGGAGGGCGGCCCGCTTTGCGATGAGGCAGTGCTTTCGTGTGAGGCAGTCCTCTCGCGCAGGTTCGCTTCTCTGTTCTCCATGGCTCCATGGCTCCTCCTCCTCCTCCTCCTCCTCCTCCTCCTCCTCCTCTTCGTCCTCCTCATCCTCCTCCTCCCCCTCCCCCTCCGCCTCCTCTTTTTCCTCCTCCTCCTCCTCCTTCTTCACCTCCTCACCCTATTCCTCCTCCTTCTCCTCATGCTTCCTGCCCTCTTCCTTCCGTGGGCCTGGGAGCGCGACGGCGACGACGACGACGGACGACGGCCGACGACGCCGACGACGGACGACGGACCACGGACGGCCGACGACGGACGACAACAGACGACGGACGATGGCGGACGACGGACGGCGGACGGACGACGGAAGATGGACGACAGAGTAGGCCGGCGGACGACGGACGACGGGCGACGGGCGACTTATGACGGACGACGGCGACAGCGTCGGCGACGACGACGACGGCGGCGGTTATGACGACGACGACGGACGACGGACGACGGACGACGGACGACGGGCCACGGTTGGCGGACCACGGAAGACGGGCGACAGGCTGCGACGGTTGACGGACCATTGATCACGGCGGACGGACGACAGACGGCGACGGGCGATGGACGATGAACGACGGACAGCGGACGGAGGACGACGAACGACGGACGGACGGGGTGGCGACGGATTGGGGACGACGGACGACGACAAACACAGTGGACGACGACGACGACGACGGACGACGGATGATGGTTGACGACGTCGACGGCTGACGACCGACAAACGACGGACGACGACGACGACAACGAATGACGGACGCTGACGACGGACGGACGGGGTCTGCATACGTCTCCAGACGTCCGTGGAGGCACCCAGGGGTCTACGGAGGCCCCTGGAGGCCCCCAATCCCTACCTCCCGAATGTCGAATCTCTACCCTCGAACCTCGAAGTTCGAAGCGCTGACGACGACGAACAGCGGATGACCAGCGGACGAATGGACGGACGATGGCGGACGACGAACGACCGACGACGGACGGACGAACGACGGACGACCCTCGCCCGACGACCTACGACGGACGACGAATGGCAGAAAACGGACGGACGGACGGACGAACGGACGGACAGACGGCGGACGACGGATGGCGGACGACGATGACGACGACCCGCAGTTGCTGCTCCACACTGGTCCCATGGGGTCAATCCTGGTCAGTTTTTCGAGCCGCGTCCAGCAGTGGCAACGAGGACCTCCAGGAACACCCAAAACCACGGACGACGCCGACAACAACGGTGACGACGACCACGACGATGATGACGACGGCGACGACGATGACGACGACCGACGACGGGCGACGGGCGACGTGCGACGTGCGACGGATGACGACGACGACGACGACGGACGACGACGATCGATGATTTTCAGGACGTGTGTGAGCCCAGTGTGTGTGTGTGTGTATATACCCTATTCAGCTCCTCCGATAGCACGCAGCCTGTGTCGGCCCTTATCAAGCTGCCTGCGTCGCTTCGAAGGGCTTCGGTGGACAAGCACACGTTGGCTCCACACACTGTGAATACCATTCGCACGGCATACGATGACAGGAGACGGACGACGGGTGACGAACAACGGCAAATAACAGACGACGACAGCGACGACGGACGATAACAAACACGACGTACGACGAGGGACGACGGATGACGGACGACGACGGACGACCGCCGACGACCAACGAACGACGACGACGACGACGACGACGGACGACGGACGACGATGACGACGTACGGACGGGGTCTCTGGAAGTCTTTGGACGTCCGTGGAGTTATCTAGACGCCCCTCGGAGTCCACCGAAGGCCCAAGACTTCTGCTCCCGAATATGTACCTCGTACCCTCGAACTCGGAACCTCGAACCGCTGACGACGACGAACGGCGCACGACGGACGGACGGACGCACGGACGGACGGACGGCGGACGACGGAAGACCGACGACCGACGACCGAATTTTGCGGAAAACGGTTCCGCAGGCCCTCTCGGTGTCAAGTCGGGTGAGTTTTCCGAGGTGGGTCCCAGCCGTGGCAACGGGCATCTCCAGGAACACCCAAGCAAAAGCGCCTCGACGGCCGACGACCGACACGGACGACAGGGCGCACACGGCGCAGCAGCAGCAGCTGGCGTGCTTGGGTTCTGCTCACCCTCGCGCACCACGGGTCACTATTTGCTTGCAGCCGATCCCTCGAGACCTCGGGCCGTCGGCTTGGACCTCCGACGACGATTTCGATTGGAGGCCGTGGAAGATGAGGAGGAGGGGGAGGAAGAGGAGGAGGAGGAGAAGGAGGAGGAGGAGGAGGTGGAGGAGGAGGAGGAGGAGGAGGAGGAGGAGGAGTCGGAGGAGGAGGAGGAGGAGGAGGAGGCAGGAGGAGCAGGAGGAGGAGTCGGCGCTGCCACATTTCCTCACTCCGCTCTGTTCACGCACGCTGCGCCTGCTGGCTGGCGGCCGACCGGCCCTCGCACGGGCGACGGACGACGGACGACGGCCGTCCGCAGAGGCCTGCTCGCCGCCGGGGCACGCGCGCCCAGGGCCGGCCTCGGCGCGACCCGGCGGCGGCCGACGAGGCCGTCGTCGTCGGCGTCGGCGTCGGCGTCGGCGTCGGCGTCGTCGTCGTCGTCGTCGTCGTCGTCGTCGTCCTCGCCGTCGTCGGCGTCGTCGGCGTCGTCGTCGTCGTCGCTGGCGTCGGCGTCGTCGGCGTCGGTGGCGTCGGCGTCGTCGTCGCCGGCGTCGGCGTCGTCGTCGGCGTCGGCGGCGTCGGCGTTGTCGTCGTCGTCGGCGTCGTCGCGGTGCGATCCGCTCTCGCGCGGGAGTTCCCCACCGTCTATTCGGGAGTGGCGAACTCGCGTGGTACTTCCTTCAGGTCGGGCGCGTCCCGCTACAGGAGGAATCTTCAGAAAGAATAGAAAAATAGTCAGAGACGATCTTTTGAGTATTGTTTTGATTTTGAGCATGTTTGGGCTATTTTCAATTTTTCCTCCAAAATGCGCCTGCGGGAGGACATGCCCGACCTAACGCTTCCTCGCAATTCTTCAGACGCCGCGCCCTCCACGCTGAGGGGTCGCGCTCTCTTCTCCTGGGGCCTTCCTCACGATCTAGTTGGGAGTCGCGCTGTCGCTCGAGACCTCCCTCGCGATTCGTGCAGGAGTCACGCTTCAGCAGCCCGCCTGCTCGACCTTGGCCAGCCCGGCCCGCCTTCCCGACCAGCCCGTTGGGGGCTACCCGCCCGATCCGCCCGCCTGGTTCTGCCACGTGCTTTCTGCTCCCAGCCCCCCTCCTGCTATTATCTCTCGTGCTCCATTCTCCTCCCTCCCCCTTCCATCCGTCCTCTCTTCCCCTGCCCTAGGGACTGCACCAGTTACACGTTGCAGGTAAGGAAGATATATCTCCAAGCAGGTACGCTCGAAGACGAAGAGGGCGGGTATCAAGGCTTTGGGGTGCACGTGTTGAATGGTTCGAGAGCAGGTAAGTGCGAAAAGTATTAAGATGTTTGTTGTTGAGTTCTCACTTCGAAAGAGTAACTATTGTTGATCTCCCTCTCCGGGCACCACCGTGGGCACCTAGTTGTTTTAGAAGGGAAAGCGAGGTGTCAACAAAGTGTGCCCCTAGCCCACGGTTTACAACAACAGCGGCTCCCGCCTGCTACTTCTCCACAATCTATTCCCAAATTGCGCTCTCGCGCGGGACGTCTTCACAATTTATACAGGATTTGCGCTCTCGTATGGGACTTCCTCGCGATTTACTTTGACGCCGCGCTCTCGTCACTCAGGAGTCACGCTCTCGCTGCGGATCTCCTCATGATTTATTCGGGAATCGCGCTATCGCTCGAGACTCCCTCGCGACTCATGCAGGGTTCACACTTCAGCAACCTGCTTGCCCGACCTGGCCACTTGGGCCCGCCTTCCCGACCAGCCTGTTAGGGTCTACCCGCCCGATCTGCCCGTCTGGTTCTGCCACGTGTTTTCTGCTCCCAGCCCCCCTCCTGCAACTATCTCTCGTGCTCCATCCTCCTCCCTCCCCCTTGTCCCTCGCTTCCATCCGTCCTCTCTTCCCCTGCCTCAGGGGCTGGACGAAATACACTTTGCAGGTACGAAGGATCCTTTAACAGGGGGGCGATCGAAGACGAAGAGGGCGGGTATCGAGGGTCTGGGATATACGTGCTGAACGACCCGCGCGGACAAGAGCGAACAGTGTTTAAGTATAGTCGTCGTATTATTATTATTATTCTTATTATTATCAGTAGTAGTAATAATTAAAGTAGTTGTAATGGTTGTAGTAGTACTAATAGTAGTGGTCGTCGTCGTCGTCGTCGTAGTAGTAGTAGTAGTAGTAGTAGTAGTAGTAGTAGTAGTAGTAGTAGTAGTAGTAGTAGTAGTAGTAGTAGTAGTAGTAGTAGTAGTAGTAGTAGTAGTAGTAGTAGTAGTAGTAGTAGTAGTAGTAGTAGTAGTAGTAGTAGTAGTAGTAGTAGTAGTAGTAGTAGTAGTAGTAGTAGTAGTAGTAGTAGTAGTAGTAGTCGTAGTAGTAGTCGTAGTAGTCGTAGTAGTAGTAGTAGTAGTAGTAGTAGTAGTAGTAGTAGTAGTAGTAGTAGTAGTAGTAGTAGTAAGTAGTAGTAGTAGTAGTAGTAGTAGTTAGTAGTAGTATTATAGTAGTAGTAGTAGTAGTAGTAGTAGTCGTCGTCGTCGTCGTCGTCGTCGTCGTCGTCGTCGTCGTCGCCGTCGTCGTCGTCGTCGTCGTCGTCGTCGTCGTCGTCGTCGTCGTCGTCGTCGTCGTCGTAGTAGTAGTAGTAGTAGTAGCAGTCGTAGTCGTAATACGTTGTTGTTGTTGCTGCTGTTGTATGTGTGGTTGTCGTTATCGTTTTCGGTTTCGTTGTTGTTGTCGTTGTCGTTGATGTTGTTCTTGTCGTCGTCGTAGTCGTCGTTGGTGTTATTGTTGTTGTTGCTGCTGTTATTGTTGTTGCTGCCGTCGTCGTCGTTGTCGTCGGCGTCGTCGTCGTCGCCGTCGGCGTCGTCGTCGCTGTCGGCGTCAGTGTTGGTGTCGGCGTCGGCGCCGTTGTCGTTGTATACTCATATAGGTGATCTCGAGAAACGGTTCCGCGCGCTCTTGCCTCGACGTCATCTACAATTTGTCTGAAAACGATGCCCCCGCGCGAGCATTAGCTTGAGTGTAAATGTGGGCCCTCGGAGGCCCGGCTACGACGACAACGGCTCCCGCTCGATACGTCCTCACAAATTACTCCGAGACACCCTGGCCATAGAGGCCACCGAACTCAGGAACGGCGCTCTCGCTCGAGACGTCCTCGCAATTCAGTCAAGTTGGCGGAGGCCTAGCCACGACGACAAAGGCTCCTGCTCGATATTCCTCATGATTTAATCCGAGAGCCCTTGGCCAGGAAGGCATCCGAACTCAGGAACGGCATTCTCGTTCGAGACTTTCTTCTGTTTCAGTCTAATTGGTGGAGGCCCACCTGCGACGACAAGGGCTTTCGTTCGATACTTCCTCAAGATGTATTCGCAAAGGCCCTTGCCAGAGAGGCCCTCGAACTCAAGAGTGGCGCTCTCGCTTGAGACTTCTCGTAATTCAGGCAAGTTGGTGGACGCCCAGACATGGCGAAAAGGGTCCCCGTTCGATATTTCTCCACATATATATATATAGACATATTCCGAGAACCCCTGGCCAGAGAGGCCCCCAAACTCAGGAACGGCGCTCTCCCTCGAGAGTTCCTCGCGCTTTATATTTTTTTGGCCGGCAAGGAAGATATTCCCCCCGAAAGGAGGTGCAATCGAAGACGAAGAGGGCTGGTATCGAGGGTCGGGGTATACAGGATACAAGACACGCGTGCTAGTAAGAGTGAACAGTCTTAAACTGACCGTAGTCGTTGTTGTTGTTGCTGTTGTTGTTGAATTCTCATTGCTGAAGAATAATACTTGTTGATCCCCCCTCACCGGTGCATGCTGTTTTTTTCTCAATCAAGGTGTGCCCCTCGGCGCTCGCACCCTGTTTTTTGACAGGACAAGTCTTGATGCTCAAACTGCGCCCCTGGCCCCCCGGATTTCAACAACAACGGCTCCCGCCTGAGACTTCCTCCAAATTTACTCAGGACCCCCGCTCCCGCCTGAGAATTCCCGAGAATTTACTCAGGATCGGTGCTCCCGCTTGTGACTTCCTCGCAATTTAGTCAGGACCCCCGCTCCCATCTGAGACTTCCTAACAATTTACTCAGGAACGGCGCTCCCGCTTGAGACTACTTCTTCGCAATTGAGTCAAGACTTCTTCGCAATTTTATCAAGACCCCCGCTCTCGCCAGAGAACCCTTCACATGTTATTCAGGAATTGCGTTCTCGCCTGTGACTTCCATGCAATTTATTCAAAAATCGCGCTTTCGACGCTCAGGAAACACGCTGCACCAAGGACGCCGTCACAATTTACTTAGGAATCGCGCTCTCGCCATACTCAGGCATCCCGCTTGAATGTCCCACCCGCCCGACCCGCCCGTCAGGGGATCGCCCGCCCGTCGTGGGCTCCCGCCCGAGACTTCCTTCAGGAACGGCGCTTTCGCCTAGGACTTCCTCGAACGTTCACGCTCTTACCTTCCTGCTCCTCCTCCCTCTCCCTCCTCCCTCCTCCTCTCCTCCCTTCTCTCTCCCTCCTCTTTCCCTCATCCTTATGCCTCTCTGCCCTATCCCCTCTCCCTCCTCTCCCTCCTCCCTTCTCCCTCCCCTCTCCTGCCTCCTCCCTCCCACTTTCTTTCTTTTTCTTCTCCCTCTCTCTCTCTCTCCCCTCTCTCTCTTTCTTTCTCTACCTGCCTCTAATCAACCGCCCCCCTCTTCGCTCCTTCTCTCCTGGCGTTTTCCCTCTTCCTTCGTCCCTCCCCCTCCCTTCCTCCCGCTCTCCCTCGTTCTCCCCCTCCTTTTTTGCAGGGCCCACACCAATTCCAATGGCGGGCACATGTACGCCCACGAAGGATTGTCCGCCCGTTCAGGTTTGCCCGCCTGTAAGCCCGCCGCCCCCCGCAAAGAGAAATAATCCCCCCAAAGGGGGTGTGAACGAAGTCAACCAGGGCGGGTATCGAGGGTGTGGGGAACTCGTTTTGAATGACACACGGGCAAGTCAGCAACGTCTGTTAATTACTTGTACCGGGAGGACACAGCGAGCGACACAGCATGCTCGTGAGTACCAAAGCGTGCCTGTCAGCCCTCAGGTCTCTGGCAAACAGATTCGACGCATGCGACGGCGAGGTAGTCTCGCACAGATGGCAGACGCCGGTGGCACCGCCGAAACGAATCCAGCGACTGGCAGTAGATCCTACAACACAACCTGAGGCCGACTACGTGAGCATCTGGACTTGGCGAGCCCACCGCCAATCCAAGCTGTGAGGGCGCAGAGCGCCCTGCAGAGCATTTTCAATCAAAACTGCCGCAAACAGGTGCACCAATGCCCTCGGGCCCGAAACGCTTCCAGCCGGGCACCTTATAATGATTGTGTTTGTTGTTGTTGTTGTTGTTGTTGTTGTTGTCATTGTTGTTGTTGTTGTTGTTGTTGTTGCTGAACTCACTATTGAAGAGCACTT